CGCCGGCGAGGCCGCAGAGGAGCCGAGGGGGCGGAGCGGCCGGCCCCGTCCCAGGCGCCGGCTGGAGGCGCTCCCGGCCGCTCCGGACAGGATCCGGGGCGCCCTCTGCTGGGAGCCCCCTCCGGAGAGCCCCGGGGTGAATGAGAGCCAGGAGCTTCCCTGCCAGGTGGGGACAGGCACTTCCAGGGCTCTGACGTTCCCGGGAGAGGAGGCGAGAGCCAGTGGCAAGACGCTCCGGGCGTCCTTACTGGCTCTGCCGCTTACCTGCTGTGTGGCCTTAGGCAGGTCAGCTAACCTCTCCAAGCCTTATCTGGAAATTGACTTAAATGAGCTGATGCGTGTGATAGAGCCTCGCACAATCGCTCAGAAAATAGTATTTCCTTGTCCCTCCTTCCCACATACACACCGTGAGAGAGGAAGTCCGACTTGGGAACAGACCGCTTTCTACCTCCCAGCCACAACGTTCCCTGACGCGCACAGATACTTCTGGGAACCCCACATCTGCGTTCCACAGCCGGGTGGGGGCTGTGATTCCCACCCCCGCTTGGGAGCGGCCTGGCCTCTTTTGTCCTCTGTGCTCCCAGCCCTGGCACGGTTGGTGAGGGAAGCTTCACATCACCATCAAGCCTTCCCTAATAAAGGACTTGGGAGTGGATTCCTCCTCTCTTCCTTCTGACAAAAATCCCGAGATGAAAAGAGGAATGAGAATGGAGGGGATGGTGGGAGGAAGGAAGTGAAAACAGAATTTAAGCCAAGTTCTGTGGTCTTATTTCAAGACAAGAGGCTGTTCAGCGAAAGGAAATGAAAGCCTCTTCCCAGAGCTTCCATCCTTAAGTCACCCACGGGGCTCCTGGGAAACAGGGTTAGATTCAAAGCCCTGCCTTTAGTCAAAGCTCCGCTCTGCCATTCCGGGTGTGGTCTTGGGCGTGGCACCGGAGCTTGTTCTTCGTCAGTAAACCGGGGCAAACACCCCTTCTTATAGCGCCTAGTAGAGTTATTGTGAGGCTGAAATGAGATAGTGTAAGATGCACCTAGAGGACCTCTACCAGTGTAAGCAACCTCCCCTCCCTCCTTTAGCCTTTTTGGACATTGAGGTCCTGACAAGTAAGATGAACCCCACCTCCACTCCCTCTGACCCACCAGTACCTCAGCATCTGTGACAGCCTCCGGAAAGATCCCAGAGCTTCCTTGTTTATAAACTTTACAACATCCCAGGACAGCGCAGGCTCTGAGCCGCCTCTCCCAAGAGCACCATGCTACCCAGAGTAACATCCAAGACCAGAGATGACTTTTCAAGTCAGTGGGCAGAGGAGGATACCCACTAGTGAGGTTTCACCAGCATAAGAAGGCCCTTCATCCTCAGACCACCCTCAAAACACCTCCTCCTCTATTTCCAGTTATCTATTGCTGTGTAACAAACCACCCAGCCTGGATGGCATGAAACAACAATTTTTCTAGGCCCACGCATTCTGATGGTGAAGAATCAGACAGTGCACAGCATGTATGGCTTATCTCTGCTCCACAATGTCTGGGGCTTCAACTGGGAAGACTTGAGTGGTTGGGAGTCACTTGAACGGCTGGGGGCTGGAATCATCTGGAGGCTTCTTCACTCACATGGCCAGTGCCTGGGCTATGATGAGTCCAAGGCTGGGCTCAGCCGAGACCGCCGAAGCACCTACGTGTAGCCTTTCTGTCCCTTACCCTCTGAACCTCATGCTTAATACCTAACTTGCAGCAGCAGTGTCCCCTTGCACAAGGCAAAACAGATGTTCTTGGATTTGACACATGGCAAACTAGTCAGA